ATATATATAGTAGTGTGTGTGTGTGTGTGTGTGTGTGTGTGTGTGTGTGTGTGTGTGTGTGTGTGTGTGTGTGTGTGTGTGTGTGTGTGTGTGTGTGTAATTCAACCGTTAAACCTAAACGCACCCAGTGGACGTAAAGTGCTGCACATACGTAGCTCCATGTAACCATTAATGTAAGTACGCAATTATCGCGTGCATAACGAGCTACGAGAGTTCTCCATTTGCACGTTGAGGTAGACATGGAACTACCGACAAGTTGACATATTTCACGAAAGAAAAAACATTTAACCACATTTCGCATATTTTCCTATCTAGAGGATATCTTCCTGAGACATTTATTTCTACTTATGAGGCGACAAATGTTGCTACTTTTGTAATAAAGTTGCTGCCCTTTAACGCGTTAATACACTGCTGACTGCGAGTGTAAGCATGCGAATTATAATTCATTCTGGCCCTCGTGTTGGAAATCTCTTCCCCGCTAGATTGCGACATTCACGATCGTGCGTGCCAAACGGCGTATCTATCGACGGGGAATCTGACGTCGTCTAAAGAAACTAATTCGTGAGAATAGCTCGACGATGGAGATCGATGTGAATCGACGTTTTACTTCGCCTCAGCGATCGCGTAACTTTAGACAGCTGTCGTATCCTCTACGCTGCGCCGGCGAATCGGACCAACGGCCACAAGAGGAGGTAGTACATGTACCCCGAAGGCCTTTTCACGTGGTCCTATGGCCGAGGGCCAAGGTATTCACGTGCTGAACCTATTAGTCGTCCGGACGAGATTGACCGATGGAGATAATGGTAACGCCTCTCGCAAGACGGATCAGTGAATCGCGTGCCTCCTGGTCCGCAGCTTCGATTCCGTGTTTCCTTGTGAGCACTTGGCGTGCGACCGTCCTTGGAGCGCGTCCGTGTTCGAGCGAGCGTGGTTGTCGGTCGATAGATGTGACGGAGAAACGGAGAACGCCCGCGCCGTGCACGCGTGTGCGTGCGCGTGTGTGCGTGCACGTCAGTGGGCGCGTTAATCGCGCCGTATGGGTGCCCGGGCGTGGGTGAATGCGCGCGCGCGCGCGCGCGCGACGAGGTAAGAAGGTATTCGGTGTGCTAAGATATCGTGTAAGTGGCGGCTGGAGAGGGTTCGACTTGTAATGACCCAGTAACGTCGTATCAGACAGGAGGGAATGGAGAGCCGCGGAAGGGTGGGAAGAAACTATTCGAACCGGCGATAACGTTAATGTAAACACGCGTAAAAGCATTAGTGCTTGACGGAGCTGCAAGAGGCGCTAATTCGTGGGCCGATTGATCTCGCCGATCGCACGTTGCACGCGCGCACGCCGCCGGCATTCTTACGCTCCACGTTAAGAAAGACTCGCGGGTTAATCGGACGATTTTCGCGATACACATTGCAACGTGCATGCTAAATGTATTCAACCACGTTTAATAATAATATAAAGAAAAGTTATATGAAATAGAAATGTAGCTTCTTCTCTGTGTATTGATTTTATTAGAAAATAATTCTCTGAGTCTTTGCAACAACAAATTACAATTTTTTATATTTGAACAAACGTGAAAATGCTTTTAATGGTGTAAAATTTTGTAGAAATTTTGTAGAATTTTGTGTTTTTCTTTACAAACAAAAATAGATTATATTAGAAAACAAACGTAAACATATCCTCATGCCATAGGCATATTTAAGGCAGGAAGAGTTGAAGAGTTTAAATCTTTCCCTCCCGAAATTTAAAAAGACAAATGAAAGTTAAAGTTTTGATTCACAAAACCTAATATTTTTCTTATTCAAAATCAGGAAGATATTTTTAGCTTTAAAATATCGAAAAAAGCAATTTATTAACGCAAAAAAATGTTGTTTGTGTATTAACAGAATTACTAAACTTCCTTCCCCCGAAAAAATATCTTGGATACACCAATACATGTTCATGTTTGCAATTGCGTTTATTCTAAGAAATTGCATTAAAGTTTTTGATAATTATGCAAAAGAGTAGATCGCATAAGCAACTAATCCTATACCAAGCATAAATAATCAAACAGTATATGTAACTAGTAGACGCGGGCATACTCTTGTATGCGAATAATTTCGTACACTCCCGCGGGTGATGACTATTAATTCATACATTGCGATGCACGTCGAATATGTTCGATAGAACAAATAATAATAAACATGCATGTCCACGTTCCTGGCTGCTCGAATGCGTATCAATTCATTCTTAATTGTTCCCACATAAATCACCTTGAAATTTTAATGAGATATTGAACGCTTTTAAACAATAAATTATCCCCTTCGTCAAGATTTAATCCTTCGCGTTTGAAGTTTATCTTAATTGAGTGAGATTGATTGACTGAGATACCGTGTCTCAGTTTGAAGATTAAAGGTGCACGTTTATAATTAATAATTTATAATTAATTATCTTAATTATCTTAATTAATAGAAATTAATTTGTGAATTTATTCTATAACAATAGATAAATTAAGGACTAAGCTCTCGTAATGCCGTGACATCTCGCAACAGTATCGCGCGGTTGTAGCGAGATTCGATCGGCGAGAATGTGAAAAATAAGTGGTTGGGCACGAAACGCGTGACGCGGGCTGGCGTGACGGAAGCTTTCGGAGTGGTCCGGTATGTCTGTGGCGTGGCATGCAAATACGCTTTGTTCATAAATTTTTTGCGAGAGTGAAACAGAGAGCAGCGGCGCTTTTTCTGCGCGACGCTTGACGATTCGTGCCGTTGGTTAAGAATTAAAGTCAGTATCAATGTGATAAACGGCTCGCTAGACTTGCCAATTGCAATTGCGCTAATTCGCATCCGGTCATGCGTGCATCGGTGCACGCACGCACGTACACACGTACACGCACACACGATCACGCACCTTCACCCGCGCGCGCACGCGACGTTTATTCGTGCGCGGTCATGCGCGTCGGGAATCGTTCGCTTGATAATAATTAATAATCCCGTCCTCTCCCGTTGAACCGCGCGGCGTTTCCATGACACGCGGGACATCATCGTCATTCATCAGGGAGTTATCTCGCCCTCGTTCCCCGAATGGCGATAAGACCGGGGAGATTTCTCCACGCCCGAGAGCCATGCGCTTTTCGTCGTCGACGGTTTCTCGGGGCATTGATTTCGGTCGGCGCCGGGAATCACGGCGCGCTTTTCGACGGAGCAGGTGGCCGTTCAGCCGCCTGGAAATAAATGGGAAGGTGCGAAGAGCGCCAGGTTTGATAAGTGCGCCGTCCCGGGGGGCGTCGACTCGTAGAGAATTATTCGAACAAACGATAACGCCACGGTAAACACGCGTGAAACCATTAAGGCACGGCCCGCAGCGAGCGTTAATTCACGGACGTTTGTTCGCCGGCGTACACAAACGACATCGCGCCGCTGCAGCGCCTCGATAATATATACGAGTAAAACTTGACGAATGCGCGTTACGATTAACGATAAAAGTCCAGAACTTACGCAGGTGCGAAGAAAGAACGACGCGCACGTACATTGATGTGATCGTGAGATTTCTTTCTTTGATTGACTTAATGAATTCAGTATCACACATTTGTACCACCAGGTGTAAAAGTATAAATCTTTAAGATTTCTTCGAGGCTTCTCGAGACTACTACCCGTTTTCGGTTTATACCAGACGTATACCTTTCATCCTGAATTTTCGAGCGAGCAGTCGTGAGGTAAATTAACAAGCCGCTTCAGGAAAACACTAGAGCCGTGCGAACACGATATCTAACACGACTGATAGAGTGGAGCAATTTGTCAAAGCTGTCGGCGATCACTGAATTACGAACGACAATGGAACCGCAATGTCGAAGGGTCGATTTCGCGGATATCGTAGCAGAAATCAGCTATCGCTACTCGTCCAAGCAATTGCACACCGGCTTTGCGTGCTTTTGTTCTAATTGAACGTCGAAAATAGATACAATCCTTTCTCCTCGTTCCTCGGGAACCGTGAGGCGCGATCACGATCGACGTACACGCGATGTGCCCGGCACATCGGAGTGATGCTCCCGTCGATACAACTTGCGCCGTCGCTCCTATCAGGCCCTCATACGTATTTCAGATCCACCTTGCGCGAAACTAAGCTACTCTCGAACATAATCGCGCTCTCGACATGTTTTAATTAAAATCTAATTTCTCCGGAGACGTCTAGTTGAAGTGGATTTTTTATTGCGTGCGCGACAAGGCGATTTCCGCGCCAAATTGCATTATCGTTTGCAGTATTAAACCGATCAAATGGATTTTTTATCATCGGCCGAGTGGACACGGAAGTTGATTATTCGAATGAACAAAAATTTCTACGAGTGTGGGTTAACGTGAGGGTCATCAAACTCATTCGTAGAGAGAAATGCACGCGCGCGCGCGCGCGCGCGCGCGTGTGTGTGTGTGTGTGTGTATATGTGTGTGATGTGGTGTGGTGTGTATGTGGACTTGTGTGTCTGTGTCAGGACGAGGACATAAAGCGAAACGGAGGAACCAATTTCGGAGAAGTGGCTACCAATTAATGGCAATTAGGGGTTGTATGAGTTGCTGGCCTTGGCGGCGCATAAGCATGCGTTAGAATTTACGAGGATGGCCAAGTGACACTAACATTATATCACGAATTGCGAAGCTCTCTCTCTCTCAATCGTTTTTAATCGATAAATATGAAATATTCGCTGAAGCAGAAATACAACGTGAAAAATGAATAGAGAAAGATATGTAGGTAGATTTAGTAAAGGAAAGTAATTCTTGTTAGAAGCAAAATAATCTGATTACAAGGGATTTGACCTCTTTATTAACTGAAGTGTAATCATTGATTATTTATGATATTAAGATCAAGGATAAATTGAAAATAAAACACTCGAGTTTCAAATTTAGCGTATCGTCGATGATCAAGATACTATTCAAAGTAATCTTCAAAATAATCAAAGCTTATTCAATTTCCTTTTCGGTTAACATCTTGTGTCTTTTTTTACATCAGTGCGATTAAAATAGTTAGATACAGAATTAGATTTTCAATCTGAGTTTCTGTATCACTGAGATAAAACTGGAAATCGTTAATAATGGTCATACAAAATACATGATTACAATTTTGCATTGACATTTTCATGTGAGAAAATATGCTCTTCTTTATATCGTTTTAAAGATTTATTGGAGATTGGTTCTTATTTTGAATATTAAATTACAAATATTCTCGTAAACTAAATTTCAAAATAATTATAATGATCATAAAATTAATGATTAAAAAATTATTTACAAAAAATATTTATAAACAGGCTACAATAAAATTTCTTATAATAAAAATAAAGGAAATATTTTATATTTCACTAAAATAAAGGATAAAAAATATGAACGATAACTTGTCTTAAATAATATAGACGATATAACGATAAGACTTGCCTCAAATTAAATGCTTTTTTCTTTTGTAATGATCTCAGACTTTTTAGAAATTCGATTATTTCGTAAATGTGAGAAGTAAATAATTAAAATGTACCGTGCCATGCGAAAAGCAGGATTTTAATCAAATTTTTTTCGGCGGTCCGCACCATTCTTTAATTCCTTTTGTCGTTCGCGAAGCATTCTCTTTCAGTTTGCCAGGCGACGAAATTTCGGAATGATTTTGCGAATACGTTTCCCAGCTTCTCTCGGAATTAGACAGCCCAGTTTTGTCGTTATTCCGACCGTTTAATCTTATTCCCGGATTTTTCTCGGTACAAAACTGAGCACCACCGCTTTTGTAGTAACGGAGAGCCGTTTTCACGATTTCTCTCGCTAGGGGACAACTTCGAAACAGTCGCGATCCGAATAAAGTTGATTAAATTAAGATCCGCCATAGCGGAAACTTGGCTATGCACGCAGACGATGCTTAACGATATAACTTTATTTATCTTTGCAACGTGCAGCTTTTTTTAAATACAACAAAGGGAGAAAAATGCAAATTATAAAATACAATAGGATTTTTCATATAATAACGTTTACATTACATTATATTATATGTGGAGTATCCGCTTCTTTAAATGACAGCAGAATACCATTACGAATAATAAACATAAACAACTACCTTGCATACAAATTACATTACGTTTTTTGTTTCACGTAAAGAAGGCTTTTCCGCTTATTAAATTGGAGTAGCTTGTTTTCTTTACACAAGGAAATCCGAAAAATGCGTTCTATAATTTACAGTAATTACAGGAAACAATTGTATCTTTTTCATTGTTGCAGTAAAGCCATTGATAGTTCAAATCCTGACGAAGGAAACAAAAGTTTCAGCTGACAAAAATTATGATGTGGAATGTCGCACGAGCGGTTCACGGCCAGAGGCGATGATTACTTGGTGGAAAGCAAACAAGCCAATCATGAAGGCATCTAAAAATGTAAGTTTTCTATAAATATTGCATGTGAATTGTACGTGATAAGACGAATTCTATATGAAAAGAAGGTAGAAATTATTCTAAAGAAGAAAGCTACATCATTCAAATATGAATGGGAAAAACAAACGTTTTTGATTAGTTAGTAAAAAGTTCTTCTTTCTGATTCTTTATTTAAGGATGTTAAATATTACCATTTTTTCCATAACTTTCTAGCGACGAAAGTAAATTTGTAATGCTCTTCTTACATGATGACGTGAGTAAAATTTAGAGCGACTAAATGTTAGTATTGAATCGCGAGTATAAATCTTCTTCCCATTTTATTCCGCAGGATATTTTAAATCTGAAGTCGAATCTTATTTTAGTAAGACTACTTCATTACGGTGCAAAATTATCTCTTTTTTTACTTCGTGTTTCAAATTTGCTGAAAGATATTATAATCGGACATTAACATTACAATGATAACGTGCTGATGCATCAAGTATTGGAGATTCAAATTTACAATGGTAATTTTACAAGCGATTTTCGGAATCAACTTTCGATCGTCGGAAGGAAATCGCAATCACATGCGAAAGAACATGGCTGATTCACGACTCGTCTCCCGAGTATCCTAATTCGGAAAAGTTAGCGCCGAGTGTTTTTATCGGGTTGCTCCGCTGCGTCGGCCGAATGCGAACATTCGGTGTTGTCTCCTGAAAACGGTTAACGGAAAGCATTGCTGAAGTGCGCTGCACAATTCGGGGGAAAATTCTTGAAATCGACGTCCCGTAACTTGCCACAGTTTACGATTCGTCCAGAAGTTAGGGCGATGCAGTTATTTCGTTTTTCTTGCGGGCGACTTCTCGCGCGCCCTCCCCCTCTCCCCGTTCCTCTTTTTCGTTCGTTCATCCCGTCGCCTCGACATATCCCGACATATCCCGACACTTCTTTCACAGTGACAGAGAAAGTACAGAAGTTTGCGAACGATCCAGTGGATCTTCGCTTGATAAACTTTCGAGGCTTAACTTTCTTTTCCTATTTTCGACGTAGGTGCTCCCGTCCACCGCCTGTGACACGAAATGTTTCGGTAATTCTTGAAAACGCTAAATTTAAAACGTCTCTCCTAATATAACTGTCCCCTTTACTTCAGAAAGCCATCTCGCTAATCCCGTGTCGTGTGTGCTTTCACGAGTTCATTTTTTTCGCATAAAAGTGTACCGTACGTCAGTCGATATTGTACCGATTCAATAAATAACGATAATGTCATCCTTGTTATATCTTTCGAATTAATGCACAATGGTGGGTCAGTTATTGAAGTTTAACAATTGAAATGGCAAACATTCACCGGTATCTTTGTGATCGTTAAATGATATAGTATCTATAGCGCATATTCATGATGTTATAATATTCGAGATAATTATGCATAGATATTAAAGCAACATGTAAACTAATCGATATTATAGCTGCGGTTGGTTAACAATGAAGCAATAAATGATAATTTCGCATATGTTGCAACAAATGATACAACATATAACGTAATTGATCCTAATAATATGAGTTGTAATAAAATGCAGTTTTATCTTGCAATAGTATTCTTGATACTTGGTATTCTTGATACTTTATGTGAATTCACGTTTTATTTTATTTAAAATCTATAGGGATTACGGAATATGTATATTAATAGTAGCTTTTATCTTTTCTATTGTATCGCATAAATTAGTAATACATAAAAGTATTAAGTATGCTGATGAAAAGTATTCAGCATTTCCACGTATCAGAATTTTATGGTGACTATTTTATGGTAACAGAGCGACATTATCATTTTATGCTTATATCATATATTTTTACTGCGCCATTATTTCATGATCATCTGCAAGCGAAAATATTTGAAGCACTCGACCATTACCGCATACATGATGACATCGGGATATTTTACAAAAAGTTATATTACAAATTTTTTCATATTATTACGTGGATACGTAAATACATTTGTCCATCGTGAAGTTTTCAATGCGTTACAAATTGAAAACGCAGAACAAATTTTTATGAGAGAGAGTATCTCTCCCTTTCCCGTGTGATATGACAGGAACGTGAAGGGAAATTGTCTTTTTTTACTTTTGGACCTCGCGATCTTGTCGTGACACTGAAAAAACCATATCTATCCTTCGTATTTTTTCTGTTACAATTTGCTTGTATCTCTTAGATTTGCTATTTTTTTTTTTTTCTGCGACAGCCTGAGAAAGTAATCGTGGGATTTATGCTCAATTTGATATAATCCGCGTGGACGCAAAATCGATTAAGTTAAACACTTTTCCGTCATGTCCACGAGGATGCGTTCACATCCTCTTAGAAACCGTGGCTTGGAAATGCCAGACCGGTAACATTCGGTCGACGTATGCGAAACAGTGTGACCGTAACGTCAGTTCGCGTACGATCTACCAGCACGATATATCGATATATCGCCCGTGTGTTGGACTGTCCGGAGGGTTTTATCGGAAAATTCGATCGCGTCGCACTGAGGCGCACTGAAAGTACAACGCAGCGAAGCTTACAAAAAAAAAAAATTGCACGAGAGATAGAGAAAGCGAGACGGGAAGCGAGCGAGAAAGGGCGTCGAGCTACGGTCGGCAGAAGTGTATATAAGAGAGACAGCGACGTGCCACATTCATCCTGACGAACCATTACTTCCATTCATCGTATTCGCGATACTGATGCGGATACATGGCTTTTCCGATATATATGTTCGATGGCGCTATCATTAAAATGACATCGTGAAAGCGGGAGGGACACGGGCCGTGATGGAGAGAGGAAGCGTCAGCGATGTGACCCGCACCCGCTTCGACCTCCATTTCCCGTCGTTGCTCTAAGCATCATAAATCTTGAAAAACCGTTAATCCCCGGCGCTCTTTTATTTCGGCATCACTTTGGCCTAACAGCTTCCAACGATGTTAAATTAATATTAGCAGCAAACGCGTGACGCCGCATGAAAAATGGAACGGTGCTTTCGACGTGGGAAATGAGAGAAGCTCGAATCATGCGAGTTCAGATAGCGGAATTTGTTAATGCGCTGATTAGTTTATTCGATCGATAGGCCTCTTTAATCTCGGATATCGTAAAAGTTTTACAACTCAATTAATTCGACATCGCGAGACGAATACGAACATAGAGGAAAGTCTCCAAGTCTCTGCGAATTAAAACTTTATTCGAGAAAATCTGACATTTCCTTGGGTGGAAACGTATAAAATGATATTCGATTTCATATTTAAGACACGTGAAGCCGTCTCGAATAATCGTTACTCGAAATATCGCTTTTTAAATCAACTGCATTATTTAATCTCCGACATCGGAAAGTCGATGTCAGTCCATATTTTCGCGTATTAGTTATCGTCGAAACGTTTCGATTTCACAGAATCAAATGTGCATATTTAATTGCAGTATCCGCTCGAGAATAACCAAACTTTGAGCATCCTCAGCTTCGTGCCAACTATAGAGGACGACGGTAAATATTTGACATGCCGCGCGGAAAATCCTAATATACCGGACAGCGCGTTGGAGGACAAGTGGCGGCTTGACGTACAATACCAACCGGTGGTCAACTTAAGGATGGGCGAAACGCTGAATCCGGACGACATCAAAGAGGGCGACGACGTATACTTCGAGTGTATAGTGCGGGCAAATCCGAAGGTGTACAAGCTCGCTTGGTTCAAAGATGTAAGTACCGCTGTAACTCGCGCGTCGCACTCGCGTGTCGGATATCACGATATCCGAGGGAAACATTTCACGGCGTATTTGCTTTGTTTTGTTGTACACCCGCGCCGCTTTATGCAAATGTAATTCGTTCTCTCGTTAGATAACTCGCATGCGTTACTATTTCACGTGTTCTTTATTATGTACAGGTTTCCACCTGTCGGTGCGCGAGCATTAAAATTACATTATAATTGCAATTAAGGGACTTGTGTACTTTTGTTAAATTCACATTTTACCTCGCGATTCGAATTCGCACGATGTTTCCAGGGCAAGGAATTGAAGAATAATTCCACGGCCGGCGTGGTTCTCAGTGACCATTCCCTGGTGCTCCAAGGATTGACTCGTTACTCCGCCGGCGATTACACCTGTCTCGCCGCGAACAGCGAGGGAAAGACAGCCAGTAATCCGGTGTCCCTTCAGATAATGTGTAAGTGGAAGGCATGATTTGCAAATTCTCTCACATAATTAATAGCCGAATTATCTCGATCGAGAAAATTGACCCGGGTAAACAATGTCCGTAATAACATTGGAGCGTATGTCCTTCATAACGCGCGTCGATTCCGTAATTTCCCTCTCGCAGCTACGATCCCTCGATAATTACTTAATCGATGGTAAGCAAGCAACTCCGCAATGTGCAGAGAGGCGAGTACAGCGGGGCGTTTGTCGAACGCGTGAGAAACGAACCCGACGGTTAAGTCGGGGATGAGACGAGAAGATAGAGGATAATGGGGGATGGGGAGCACGGTAGATAGAATAGGGTATATAGTTTTCTGTGAAACACGGAACGCGGGTTATTCTATTAGAATGGTCGGTGCCCCTGGTGCCAACCTGGCGTATCTGCATCTTGTAAATGACCTAAGAGGGAAGGAAGGACTGTGCGATGCATATTCAGTTTATGTAAAGCGTAGCTGAATATTCATGTGTGGGTGAACGCAGGCTGGCAATGTGCTAAGCTAGGCCGAAGCAGACGTACGGCGGAATGTACGTAACCGAAAGGAGATCGCGAATCCGTTCTGATGTTCCAAACCCTCTCCCCCCTCTTCCCCCCCTCCCCCCTGCGGAGCCGACGACGTCGATCTTTTGCATTCGCATGGGATTTCAAACAAACTCGTGATCACGTCACAATATAATTCCGCGCGTGATACGAATGACGTGAATCGCGTCGTATCAGATAAAAAATTTTCTCCTCACGTTTATCTTGTTCGAATCGTTTTAAATATTTTATATTACACTTAGTGACGTGATTTATTAAATACTAGATATTCTTGTCTATAATTTAGATGTAATTAAGATGCACAAATTTATTATGTGTCTTTATTCTAATATGTTTTAAAAAAGATATATCTGGAGATGAAATTTTTAAGAAAAAAGTAAGATTGTTCTTGCAATACTTTTCTTGATGGTATGAGTTTAATAAGATCTATAGATTCTGCTCCAAACAACTTTAACCGTTTGCAATGCAAATCGTATAAGTAGGAAAAGCTTCCCGGTCAACACATATTTGATTCACAAATTTAGAAGTTTGCTAACATCCATTGTTATACATATGTGTTGGAATTTATTCAAATCTTGATAACTTTGAATCTACTAAGAGTTAGAAATTTAAATTTACATGCTTTTTATCAGTCACAATTCTCTTATAAGTATAAACTTTTATAATTATACATATATATGTCTTCATTTCCGAACTTTGTTAGATTTTTTTACATTGATATTTGTAATGGTATAAAATATTTCGAAGTCATGATTTTCGTCTTGGACATACAGTTAATAGATAAGTAAGTATTGATTAAATAATTAAATAATTAACTTAAATATATGCGATTTGGTTTTCGAACATCTATTATGAAATATTTTATTTGTTTTCACTAGATTAAAAAAAGAAACGAAAATGATTGTTGAATTGATCTACAAGCGACAAACATTGACTCAACAATTGGTCTTTTTATTTGAAAGAAATTACGAAGCTATTTCAAATTATATCTTTCTTAAAAATACGTATCTATGTTAGATATAACATTGTCTTTTGTCACACATTTTCCTAAATTGTTCAAGTTGTGAAACGATAAAATAGCGAATTTTCAAGAAAATATTATTTTTATGAATGAAAGGAGAATCAAATAAGATAGCTATATGTTGAAGGATATTTGAAGAAAATAAACGCACCCGGTTTGTAAAAGGATCTCAAAATACTGAGAGATGGTGTCCGAGAAAAAGTGCCTTGTGGCATTTTGCGAAGCGATTTCCACCTCGGAATACGTCGCATTAAATGCAGGTCGAAGAGATCGATCTGATTTCTCCACTATCTGTGTCTTATTCAACTTCGCGAGCGAGCATTATTCCAAAGCGTCTATCGTGAGATATCATCCTTTGGTAAACAGACGTACCTCTGATGATACATACGTCGATATGCCGCTGCGGTACGTCTCTCGAACTTCTCATCTTGGCAATTAATTTAGTACCGCATAGACTATATCAAATTGCAACCAGACAGTCTCTCTATCCGTGATTCCCAGCCTTCGGTCGTAAATCATCACTCCCGCCGTGTGGGACTTCCGCATGTCATGGCCTATCGCAAATACCGATGTCAAGGGAATTTCCTATTAGACTATCGATCGACTGTACAACCGGCTGAACGGTGCCGAGCTGCTTCTTCTTCCGTTTGACACTCGCGGATCTCACCGGAATACCGAGCGCGCGCGCGCGAAACCAACATCAATGCGACTGTAGAACGAAACAGAACGTCGAATATCCATTTAAATCGCCGTTAGTACTATTTCTACGACAGGAACGGAATGCTGATTGATTTACGATTGTACGCACGGTGCGCGCGACCCGGGAAAACATAAATTAATCAGAATAGCTTTTTATGCTTATCATCGAACAATGAAATTTCTCGAGGCAGAAGAACGTCGACTTGCATACACTTTGTTATACATTAATCTTGACAAGCGGGCCATAAATCACTCTGTACTTCAAACTTTGCGCTACTCCATCGTTGTTCGTAGAAAGGCCACCGTTGGCAAAGTACGACGACTTTGTTTGCAGATGCGCCGGTGTGCAAAGAGGGCAGGAGCGAGGTGGTGGTGGGCGCTTTGAAACTGGAGACCGTGTCGTTAGTCTGTTCCGTAGAGAGCCATCCGGCGCCATTGACTTTCCAGTGGACATTCAATAATTCCGGCGAGCTCGTCGACGTTCCGCACGCGCGTTACTCCCACGCATCGGCGCCTGGCACATCAGACAGCCTGAAAGAGTATCAGCAGTTTCACGGGTCCAGAATGAATTATACACCAGCCTCGGAAATGGATTACGGTACGGTGTCATGCCGGGCGACTAATCAGGTTGGCATACAACGAACAGCCTGCCTCTTTCAGGCAAGTATCTTTTCGCCCCTATCGTATCTTTTTCTTCTTTTGCTTCTTAGCGTTTCAGCGATTTCCAAGATGCGATTCAGAATTCCCCTGCTTTTAATTCAAGGCGCGAATATATCGAGCTATATATATGTATATAGACTTGCGCATATTGATCGCTTTTATTAAAATACAGAGTTATTCTTTTTTGGTCGTATTTTTTGGTCGTGTGATAATAAATTCTTCGTTAACTTAAAATTGATTTTATTTACATAATTTATTAAATAAAAATATCGATATATTTAATTATTAAAAGTTGGCAGGATAACTTTAGGAAGAGAATAGATATATTAAAAATATCTTTCTTTGTTAATTTATTAGTTTTAAAACGAACTTTAAGAGTCGTTTAATTTGGGACTTAATTATAAAATTATATGATAAAATATTGGAAATATCATAGATCATAAATTAATTATTTTTAGTAATTCCGCTAAGAAAGTTTAAGTATTTCAAATTTATCAAATAATTTGATGTGATATATTTGAACTCTGAGACAATATATATAATAGAGACATATATATAATTATTATTAAATTTCTTAATATTACTTTCATAAAATTTGTAGAGCATGTGAAATCAACTAATTTGGAATATAAATGTTATAATGTGTTTAAACATAACAGCTTGTAAATTACTTTTGATATCCATATTTTTGTCAAACATACGCGCATTTTCAATAGATATTTTCTATATGATCTTTTTATACTTCAGATATTACTTTATACGAGATTGATATAGCAATTTTATTAAATTGCCTAGCATAAGAATTGCTTAGCTATAAGAAGAAATTCTATTAGTAATCCTGAAAATCTCACGAGAAATGATGTTTCACCGTTCATCGTAATGTAGAACTTTATCTCCATATGATATCGAGAGATTTTCTTGATTGATAGCGTTGAAACACGGCGCTCTTTCGATCATTACGCCAGCCACGATAGTATCGATATATTCGATCTGGATCGAAAAATGGTTAAACCACCCATATATACCGCATGCCTCAAATATTCTAGTATTTACACGACGTGCGTCATGTTGCTAGCTATTTCCTTCATAAATTTCATGCATTGTATACTCCGGCATCACTATGCTCCTAATACATTTTCATTTTGATCGATCGACGGTATCTACAAAGAATGCGGGGGTTGCCTCCTTTGACGATACAAACTGTGCTCGTATTTGACATGCATATGAGTCTTCGAACGTGTGTAAAGTCGTTTACCGTCGCTGCTGGAAAGATCGATCGTTCTCCACCCATTGTGAAAACTGCAATGTAGAGGAATGCACACGATGTAAACATAGCGATTTTAACTATACTACTGTTAAACTATGCAGTTTTGTGTGTGCACCAGCATTATATGGTGGCGTTATTAAGATCCAACTGTCGCAGGCATCAAACCTTACGTCATTCATAATGCAATGAAGGGGGTAGACTTTATCTCCGGTCTGTCTGTTTCTTGGCAGGTTATAGCCGCGGGTCGCCCGTACGCCCTTCACAATTGCAGTGCCACGGAGATGTCGGCGCCTTTGGATATGGAGGAGCTTGGCACGAAGTCGGGAACAGGTCTGGTAGTCCGATGCCTGGAGGGTTACGACGGAGGTCTTCCGATATACAGTTATCAGCTGGAGGTCGTGTCTGACGAGGACGGAAGTCCGATTCTCCTAAATAAAACCATGCCGGCAGGTCCCAACGGGCCGACTTTCGAAGTCGCAGGACTAACGACGGGTAGAAGCTATCGACTTTTTCTCTACGCGATTAATGCGAAGGGGAGGAGCGAGCCTGCCATCCTCGAGCCGGTAACTCTGAAGGGTGTCGCTATGTACACGACCGGTGAGTACATTTAACTTCCCTAAGATATTTTTCTATCGATGAGGTTCAATCTTGAAAGTTTGAAAGATCTGTTGTTTCATTCTTTTTCGTACGTGTAATAGAACTTGGATGATCTCATCGAAGATCAAAGGATCTTAGTCTTTTTGGTCTTGAATAAAAATATTAATTGCAGAAAGAAAATAAAGATTTAAAATTAGCTTCGGCTTTTTAGCGTAAGACTGAATCTGAAATTTCGATAATCGTATAAATGTAACTATTTATTTCAAGAATGTCGGAACTCATTCTGAGTTTAAGGGAAGCTACGAGAAGTTTCCTCATTAGCGAAGATGATTATTCTCGTATTATGTGTAAGTAGGGAGGGAGAATGATCTTAAGTCTAAAACGTCTCCGAGCAAAGTCGTAAACGAATCATAAGCACAATTTGGTTGACTTATAAAGTTCTGGATGAAGAGGCCTGTAGTGATGTAAATTTGTGATGTAGCATCACACAAAGTTCTTTACGATACGTTCTTCATTATATTCAAATTTCTTATATTATGCAAAGTATGGCCGCATTATCCTTTACTCCGGAGAGAACTTATGGCTCGTTAATTGTCCCGCTTCCACATCGCGCGGCGGAATGGATAGGACCGAAGTACCATTGCGGAAAAAAATATTCGCTTTTTATACGAAGTAGAGTTTTCGCTAACCGCGGGGAATAAAAAAGAGTGATTGCATTGTATTCATCAGCCGGCGACCAAACCAGCTTCCTTTCTCGACTTCCTGCATTTACGCGCGTCGATCGTTAGTTGCTGCAGCAATAACAATCGCGCTATATTTTTCTCGTCGGGTCTTGTTGAAAACCAAGCGGAGCGGACGTGCTCTCTGAAAAATGACGCGGCCTGGCCGGAAAAAAAAAAAACGACGACTGAATTTCGCTTTTGACGGTCCATTAGCGTGCGTTCGGACGTGGGTGTGGTTACGGCGTGCGCAGATAGCGCCTATTATACCCGGTGATAGGCGTCGCAAGGACGACGGATATGATCGCAATTTCACAAATACTGCGAGCGGACGCGTCAGTATTGCAATTAGTCGGTTAACCGACCACCGTAGTCTCCTCGACCGTTCTCTACGACAGGCTCACACTGTGGCCGCTGATGTTGTGAGCCAGGATGTGAGGAACGGGAGGCGGACGGGTGGTCTACCATCCCGGAATGGTGGTGGAAGCGACTACTGCCAGAGAGGAGAGTTTGTAATGCTGAACGTAGCACAACGCAACCGCAGGTATCGGACTCTGCGGACCTTGCAATTAACAAAACAGATTACTCTCAATCAACGAACACCTATACCTCGCTTCGGTGCACGAGACGTGACAGTTTCACTGGCTTTCTGCGACTCCCCATGCGATTCCGTGGGGAAATAGCAAACAGCGTGCGTCCGGCGTTGACATACTCGTTGATTTGAGTTGTGGCCAGTTGGGTTCTTCCCCTTGGCCTAAATCGAAGAAAGCCGAAGTGATAAAGGAGGAGAGAAAAAATCAAAGAGGCATGACGTATCCTCTGTCAAAAATCGTCTTTCGATTCATGCGTAAAAAAATATCGAGTGCGTAAAATAAAATAGACGATTTTTTTCGTTAAATATTATATTTCTTTTTGTCTGTCTTTTACGTCTGTCTTTTTGGATTTGAAAAATCTATCACATTTATATTCTATAAACTTACAAATTAGGAAACATATGTTTAAT